CCAACCCGACACCTGCCAGTGGAACCCACAACCTGGCGTTGGCCAATTTACACTGTGACAGGCAGGGGCCTCCTGCCAGGGTACAGGCATCACCCTTCTCGGGGACCTGCCACCAGCAGAGGAGGGACAGAGCGAGCACCACCCCCACCATGCACTCCGGGGAGGGAACAGGGAGGGGCTGGGACCTCGGGAGTCACTGAGGAGCCACTGTCGGCAGCCAACTGTCCCCTCCTTTGGGCCGCCTGTTCCACTACTCAGCTGCCCCTTGCTGGAGGGCGGTGCCACCTCTGCTGTCACCAGTTCTGATGCGGTGGCTGCGCCATGACCTGGCGTGGCCTTGGATCCCCGTGCTCGGCACGGCCTTCCCTGGCGCTGGTCTAGGCCACACTCAAGACGGACATTAGGCGCCCTAAACGCACACACCCGGCTCCTGGCCCCAGACGAGGTTGCCTCTCCTGGGACAAACCCAGCACCCACCTCCCTGCCCCGTCCACCAGGCAGCCCCGGGAGTGGACACTGCCAGCTCACCCTGTGCACCTCAACACCGCTGTCACCCAAGGGCCCAAGGCTGAGCCCCACCAGGGACGGCTCTTCCGCTCCTCACATATAAGCACACTAGTGCTTCCACGGGAAGCTCCCAGAAAGACAGCCAAGGGTTCTCAGGGCAATGGAGCCCTGTGGCTCTGAGACCTGGGCCTCCCCTCCCTGACTCCTGAATTTGGGGGACAGTGGCCGCTAGATCAGGGCAGGGATGGCAGCATCCTGGCCCCCAGGCCCTGGCGACTGCTGGGTGACCACAGGGGACCCTTCTGCTGGGCCTGTGGAGGCGGCACCCACAGGACCACTTGAGCACCAGACATGTCTCAAATGAATCACAGCAGGAAACACCTTCATCCCAGCGTGTTCAGTCACAGGCCTCAGAAGAAACACATTCAGTCTTGTCTGCACAGTTGCAGGCAGCCCGCCCCGGGCCACCCTCGGGTCCCCGTCCCCTCCCTGGCCTGCGTGGGGCTGGTGAGATCACCCCGGGCGGGCCCCTCCTCTTCCTCTGCAGCAGCAGGAGGGAGGCGGGATGAGAGCCCAGGCTGCAGGCTCTCCTGCTCATTTCCTGGCCAGCATCACGGGCCTCCTGCGCCCCTTGCCCTCCCTGTGGGCAACGTGGGGTGGTCCAAGCCCTGTGAAGCCCAGCGGCTGCGGGGTCACAGGAAGAGCTCTGCACCCACGCTCAGGGCCGCCCTCCCTCCTGCTACCGGAGAGCCAGATGAGAGGGCAGCAGCACAGGACTGGCCCAACAAGAGCAAGCGCTTCCCGGGCACCTGCTGTCCCCACCTCCCGCCCCGTCTGCTCTCAGGAACCAGGGCTGTGGGCAAAGGGTGCAGCCAGAGCCCGGGACCGGGGCAGGGCCAGCCCCAGCAGTAGGAGGAGGCTGAGCCGGCATCAGTGATAACTCGGGAGGGGTGTTGGGGTGGCAGGAGGCCGAGCCTGCAGCTCTGGGGAAGGCTCCGCAGGCAGGACAGGCCTCCAGGCTCCGAGAAGCGGGCTGGGCTCAGGGCCTCCCTACCCCATGCAGCCTCAGAGGGAGGGTGTGTCCCCTAATGCCCAGCCTGACCAGGCCTCCCAGGCCTTTACTACTCCCAGACACGGCAGGGCCCACAGGGGATGGGAACACAGACTTCTTCCGGGCTCCCTCTCAATGAGTGGGATGTGCAGAAAGCAGCTGGCCCGGCCATCTCCTCATGGGGGCCAGCCAGGCCCCGAACACTCAGCGCTGCCCAGGGGTTGGGCAGTGCCGTGAGGCTGGACCTGGAGAAGGGGTTCCAACAGGGGCCCCGCAGCTGCCCGGGAGAGGCACCTGCAGATCGAGGCTGGGTGCCAGGCTCTTCCTGCTCTGAGGCCCAGGATGCCTCCGGCAGGCAGGCCGAGTCCCCAGATCTCCCCTGCTGGGGTCTCTCCAGTCTATAACTCCCATCCCAGACCCAAGCCTCACCCGATGGACACTGGCGAGCCAGAAGCCAGCCTTGCCGCGCCCTGTGCCCGGCCCCTCAGGGCACACCCTGGCCCCCAGCACGGCTGAGCCAGCGCCTCCTCCTCAAGCTTCCTGCAGCCTGAGCCGAGGCCAGCACATGGGTCGGGATGGGCTCTGCCCACGGCTGTGTCCCGAGGCAGAACCATACAGGCAGGCAGTGGGCACTCACTGGGTGGGAACCTGCACTCACAGGGTCTTAGAGGACCGAGGCGCTCCCTGGGAGCCGCTTAAAGGGCAGTCTGTGCAAGCGAGCAGAGCCAGCAAGACTTCCTCAGTGAAATCCTCCCGGAAACAGAAGGTGTCAACTTAAGAAATTAGGGAAGATGAGCACATTTGAGATGTCTGTGCAGATGGGTCCCTGGAGGAGGTGACACCGAGGGTCCTCCCAAGTCCCAGAGGGCAGCAGGAGCCGGGAGGGAAGAAACCAGCTCATCCAGGCCGCAGGGAGGTGGTCCCAGCCCATGCCCGGTCTCAGGTTGGCTCAGGTTCTTTCTGCTTTTAGCAAGGGACTATGGTGTTGACAGGCAAGAAGAGCATCACAGCTCTCAAGGGCAGCAAAGTAAACCAGGCAGGAGACCCCTTCTCCACCCCAGAGGCCCACCTCCTCTGCAAAGGGTGCTGGGCGCCACCTGCTGCCCAGTGCCCACCACTGCAGTCCCCGCCAAACACCACGGGCAGAGGGCTGAGGGCAACCAGCCGCTCCTGCAGGGGCTCCACGGGGCAGCAGATGCAGATAGACGTGGATGCCTCATGTGACGCAGAAGCGCTGGGAGCAGTGGGAGGCAGGGTCTACAGAGGCACCAGCCAGGGACAGCGCTCAGGGACACCCAGGAGGGCGTGGAAACAGCCCCCCGAATGGCCCACTCTGCCCCTGGGGGGCCGCGCTCTCGGTGCCCCTCCCGGCGACAGCCTCCTCCATTGACTGTGTTTTGATGGCTCTGGCCCTCCCCCTCCTGCTGCCCTCCAGGCTGGCCCGGGCCCCGCCCAGCGACCACACACCGCCACAGGGCCCGTCCAAACAGCTTGGCATGCTTCCCACAGCCCGCTGCTCCCCAGATCTCCAGATGGGGCCCCAAGGCAGGCGGCGAGCTGTAGCCAACAGCCTGAACTGTCCATGCCGAGCCCAGCCTGCCGCCCTCCCCACTCCCTGCTGCTCCCTCACCCAAAGCTTCCACCCCATGCAGAAGGAAACCACGCTCTCGGCCCAGCCCTCCCCCTCTGTCTCCGCAGCACCGTGCTGTCCCCTGCAGACCTCCACAGCCCGGACCCTCAGCCTCAGGGCTGGGTGCAAAGCCCCAACCCAGCGGGGCTGCCTCGGCTCCCTGCAGCGCCATCACCTCGTCGGACGTGATGCTGCGCTGAAAGTGAAGAACCAGTCCCCTGAGTGCAGGGACAGCTGAGATGACGGGCTGGGGACAGGCGCGACCTGGCCCTGCTGCCTGGCCCTGCTGTGTCACAGGGGTGGGCAGAGGCTGGCATGTGTGCAGGACCAGCCTGCCCCAGACAACATCCCAGCTGTGGTATTCACAACTGCACGGCCCCTCTGTGAAACAGAAACACTAATCACTCCTCCTCCGCATCTGCAAGGAGGCAGGCTGCAGAGCAGAAAGGCACAGCCCATGCCTGGTGCAGCCTCGAGACCCCACAGGCCATGGGCATCTGCCAGCTCTGGCAGTGAGGCCTCCACTGCCAGCCCCCGGCACTGCGAGGAGGCCAGGACCAGCAGCTGGGGGCGGCCACACAGCTCCCCTCAGGACACGGCAGCCACCACTGTTCTGGGACTGAGCGCAAGAGAGCTCCGGGGGCAGCAAGGGCTGTGGGTACCAGGGTCGGGCAGGCGGATCAGAGAGGGGCCGGGCATGCACTAGGCCTCTGACCGGCTGGCTGCAGGGAGGGCTGAGTGCTTCCTGGGAGCAGCAGACCCCGGCTGTAAGTCAGGGGCAGTTCCTGTGCATCTCAAGGCACCAGGCAAAGCCCAAGAACACTGCTTGTCTAATTCCAAATGATGTGTCAGGAGGAGGGGCAGACTCAGCACCCCAACCTTGGAGGCACAGCAGGGCCCCGCTCTGACCACCACCAGCCCTGGCCCCCACCCACACCCCCAGCCCCTGCACCGTCCTCCATGTTCCCAGCACCCCAGCCCAGGCCGTGCCTAGGCAGCCGCAGCCAGCAGGGCCACACCACGCACACCGTCGCCCAAGGACAGCAACAGCACGGTGCAGCCCCGCAGCCGATCCAGTGGCCATGGGCCAAACACATGTGCACAGCCCCGACGCGCCCAAGTTAGCTGGTACAACCAGGCAGGGCAGCGGGCAGCCCGAGCCCATCACACCACCACGCACTGGCCTTCCCTCCCATTCCCACGCCATCCTGCCGGCCCCTGCGTGTGCCTAAGGAGCCACGCACACCCAGGGGATTTCACGTGCCCACTGGCACAGAGTGGATCAGAGTCGGCACGTAGCACGCCCACATCCACTGGAATTCAGGACACACAAATGGGGCAGGAAAAGATCAGTGGGCACCAGGGCCTGAACAGGCGGAGCGGAGGGGCTGCAGCATGACGCTGCAGGGGAGGTGCATGCCAGTGCACACACATCCAGCGTGCCGAAGGCACAGCGCAGCAGAAGCCCCGAGTGACGCTGACGGCAAGCGGCTCAGGACCAGGGGACGTGGAGACTGCTTTGGGCCCCAGCTCTCTATAGACCTAAAGCTGCCTGAAACATAAAATCTACTCTGCAAACAGAAGAAACGGCAAAAGGAAGAGCGGGCACCATAGCCCCTCTGGATCACAGCATGCCCTGGGGAAGGCTCTTGCTCAGCAGGCTCAGGACTGCAGGGCTCCGAGGCTCAGCAGCGGCCCCTACAGCTCCCACCCGGGGCCACAGACACAGTGAGGGGCAAAGGGGGGCTGCGGTGCCCAGGAAGCCCCAGGGACCAGCGCGGCCCACAGGAGGAAAAACACACACAAACCTACCTCGAGGTCATCGAGAGAGCGGGTGATGCTGAACCTCTTGGACCTCCCAAAGGATCTGCGGGCAGACGTGTGCTGAGACGTCTGCACAAGTCCAATTCCCCGCCCGAACCTGGAGCCCTAAACATGAAGAAAAAGAGATGTCAGGTGGTCTTCCTGGGAAGCCTCCAGGCTGCAGCCCCGTGAAACAGGGAGCAGGAGAAACCAGAGCAGAAGTATCTTAGGGTGAATTTTATGGTAGGTGGATTTACACAATAAAAAAGTACAAAACTGAACAAAGGAGTCAGACCAGCTGTCGGGGTCCTCGTCCTGCCACTATCCACGGTGTGCCCACATGGTGGCCCCCACTCAAACCCCAAAGCCATCAGCTGCTGGCTCCAAGGGCTGTTTCCAGGGCCCAAGGGACAACAGCTGACATCGGGAAGCACGGGAAGGGTGGTCCTCACTGAGGCAGAGGCTAGTTCTCAGCAAGGCTGCGCTCTAGCAGCGTTTCGGGAAACGAGAGTCCTAAAGATGCCCTGGTGCCTGACAACCAAGTCAGCTCTGACACAGAACAGCCGGCTCCTGAGACATCTCTCGGTTCTTCCTCCCAGCAGTGGCCGACTTAACCAGTTCACCAGCACACGCCGAGAGGCCAGCAGACAAGGGCCTCAGGCGGGCCAGCTGGGTCCTGAGCAAGTGAATCCAGCCCATCCCGGTCATGAGGGGGCAACGTGTTTCCCCAGGGGTCACCAGCTCTTTCCACCTGCAGAACGACCTCAGGCATCACGTGGAAACTTGCAGTGATTCCCGGACAGCTCCGGGGCCAGACTCAGCTCTGGAACCACACGGTGTGATGTCCTGGCCCACGGACCTGCCCTCAGCACTGCCAGGGACAGGGACGGCAAAGGAGCGACGCCAGGACCCCAGAGTCCCACAGGTGTTGCCCTCGTCCCCACTGCCCAGGGCAGTGCAGACCCCACTCCCAGTGCCGAGGGCCCCTCCAGCCTCTACCTGCCCCTCCTCCCACCAGCTCCAGGCCGGCACGCGCCACTGGGACCTCAGCCCGAGGTCTCACTCGCCTCGCTCCTGTCCAAGTGGCCAGCCCAGCCCGCCCTTTGCACACTCCCAGACCGGCCCCTACCCCATGCCCGCTGCCAAAATCCTCACTGTGCTCAGACTGGCTGCAGAGTCGGGGAAACAGCACCAGCGGGGCCACACCGCGGGGCCATACCACGGGGGCTGGCAGGATGGGGCACCAGGCTGCGCTGGATGGAGACCGTCAGGGAACTGTGAGCTGAGCTGGGGTGTAGCAGGAGGGGACCGACAGGTGGAAGGAGCACAGCCCAGGGCCCTGGAGGAGACACAGGCGCCTCCCAGAACTGGTGTCGCAACATAGGAGGGGCCCTTGCACCTGCTCATCGAACCCCAATACCCGCCAGGAGCCCACGTTCCAGGGGCTCAGGCAGCATCGCCCTTGTTTGCCACATCACCCACTGGCCACCCCCACAGGCAGCGGGCCCCACCCATGGACCTGCCTTCCACCGACCAGCACACGCCAGCTCCATGGTGACTGGGGCAAGGGTGGCCACCTCTCTCTCCCATGCCCAGTGCCACAGGGTAGAGGGAACTTCAACAGCTCCCTCCACGGGGAGCACCTAGAGGTGGAGCCTGTTGGGGACCCAAAGCAGGGAAAGCAGGGCTGAGGCCCAGCGCCCAGGGCCGCTGGTTGCACTCGCGGGTAAGTGCCTGCTCTGTGCCGTGGCCGGGCTCGAGGGCTCGAAGGCTGTCCTCCAGGAACCTGGGAAGACCCCGGGCGCCTCCAGGCAGGGAATGTGTGAGGGAAGAAGCCCGAGGCCAGGGCCAGGGTGCAGCAACCACCCCGGGGGCTGGGCCTCACGAGACTCAAACCCAAGCTCATGCGAAGGCACTGGGCAGGAAGACCTGCTCATCAGGGGTCCCCTGGGCCTGGGGACCCCCACCCCGGGGAGGCCTGCACAGGTCCGCTGACGATCAGGTGTGGTCCGCCTGCAGCGCTGGGTCAGGACAGAGGCCTCACCTTGGTCTCCAACACCTGGGGCTTCGCTGCAACTGCATGTGCCCGTGCTCTGGGCCCACGCTCAGGTCCCCACCCTCTGGCCATGCAGCCTGCTCGCCAGGTGCCTTTCTGGGTCCCTTGGTAGCCAGCAGCAGTGAGGTGACAGAGTGGGCAAATGCTTGTCTGAGAAACTTTGAGAACCACGCCCAAAGCTGGCTGTGGCTCTGGACCCTGCCGGAGCCAGGAGCTCCTTTCCAGGCCCTGTCCAGCCCGCCCAGAGGTCTCCCCGCCCACATCCCAGGGCCTGGGCCCGAAGCCACCATGACCCCCCGAACCCCTCGTGGCCCTGAGCCCCAGTCTCCCCTCCGGATGAGAGCCTCACGCCCTGGCCTAGGTGAGATTCGGGAGCCCTCTCCCTGCCTCTTCCTGCGGCCCTCCACACGGCAGGGACAGCACACTGCCAGCGTCTGCTCACACCCAGGACTCGTGCCAGCCAAGAGCAGGCGAAGAGGTGCCCAGCGGGGCCGGCGCAGCCACAGCTCGAGGTGGCAGCCCCGTAGGAGGCATCAAGTTCACGGCGCACTCCACGGCCACACAAATAACAACAGGGACAGCGCAAGGTCTCCTGCTAACCAGAGCCAGCTACAGGTCGCCTGAAATGAACCCTGGGCACATCAGACAGCGGCTCTTCTGTATTCTCTGCACATGGGTAATGAACCTGTGACCTTCTGGTCCACAAAGTTTTGATTTGTTTTTTCCATGGTACTGGGAACCGAACTCAGGATCTTGTGCTTGCCAAGCAGGTGCAGTGCTGCTGAGTGACACCCCTGGCCCCAAGGTTTGATTTTAAACGCCCGGTGACTACACGGAAACTGCACAGGTAGCCTGGCCGCGTCTGGCTGCACTGCCAGCCACCTCCGCTGCCAACACCTGGCCGTCCACAGATGTGCTATGTGCTGCATAAAGAATGGAAAATCAAACCATCAAGAAGATCGAAAAGCATTCCCACAGAGAACTAAGTCAACTCAAGAACAGATGCGAATGATCCCAGTAACACCCACCAAGAGCAAACTTCGGCATTTGTTTCTCAAATCAACTGTCCACCGCCCCTAGTGTACGAGCAGAAAAAGAAGTTTATCCTTTAACCTTGAAACGCCTTGGGACTAGAGCCCCCTGCCGGTCAGACCTGAGTCAGCCTCCGCCCCTGCAGCCAGGGAGCTTCGAGGCAAAGGGCTCTGACCTAGAGGGCCCAGGTGAGAGGCAGAGCCAGGGGCAGCCCAGCCCTCAGCAGGCGCCCAGGCAGCAAGCGCACGCAGGCTCACCGATGCTTCACGCCAGGCACAAAGGCTGCAGCCCAGCCCTCCCCAGAGACACTGCCCGCGGCACTGCGCTCGGGTTCCCAGGGGCGGCTGTCACTGGTGACCGGGGCCCAGCGAGACAGCTGTCAGGGTGAGGGAGAGCCCAGACTCTGGCCCCGTCAGGGCCTTCTGACATGCACACCGGCGGTGCACAGAGCTCTGAGCTCCGCACGCTCAACCCCATCACGCTCGGGTGCTGACGGCCACTCCCAACGCGGGAGGCAGTGCCCGTGGACATGCACCTGCCCAGTGCCCCGGAGTGCTGTTGGAGTCTGGCGTCTGTGCAGATGCTTCCTGGCCTCCAAAGGTCTTCCTGGAGAGGCATCTGTGCACACCCTTGGCCCGTGTTTTAAGGGGTCATCTGCCTCTCTGCTTCTGAGCTCGCTCTATACTCTGGATATGAACACATCAGATATGTCATCTGCACATCTCCCCAGTCTGTGATCTGCCTCCTCACCTTGCTGATCGTGTCCTTTCATAAAGTTTTAAATTTCAGTGTAATTCAACTTGGGTACTTACTTTCTCTTTCGTTGGCCCCAACAAAATTAGAATGAAAAATGCTGGACCAAACAGTCTGGAGCCTAAACCACAAGCCAGGCAGGGCAGGCTGGTCTGTCCTGGTCACCACTGCCCCCAGCCTCTCCCAGTGCTGGTACGAAGTACTCAGTATTTACCAGACACATAAACTCTAAGCAAGAGACAATCTACGGCCAGGCACAGTGGCACAACCCTGTAACCCCAGCTACTCGGGAGGCTGAGGCAGGAGGATCACAAGTTCAAGGCCAACCTGAGCAACTTAACCAGACTCTGTCTCAAAATAAGAGGTGCTGGGGATGTAGCTCAGAGCTCCCTAGGTTCAATTCTGAGAGAGAGAGAGAGAGAGAGAGAGAGAGAATATGAATTTAGGTTAAACTAGAGCCCAGGCCATCAGAAGGTTTAAAGAGAGAAACACAAAGAATTCTGGGGAGTAGGCTGACGACTGGCTCCACCTGGCATATTAGGCAGTGCCCACACAGCAGACAGACGCCACATGGCAGCTGGCAGAGGGAACCCGGTGTGAGGAGGAGCCTGCCTGGCCCCAGAGGAAGAAAGCCACGGAGAAGCAGCGCTGCCCCTGAAACCCACAGGAGGGGAGGGAATGGCTCCCACTCCGTGGCTCCGAGGTGGGGAGGGCCTCTGCCACCCAGACCTCGGAGAGGCCTCGTGGGGTCTCTGAGGGGAAGGAGGGGGCCTGGCCAGGATGAAGAGTGTTGCCATGGCGATGGTCCCACCTGGCCTGCTCCCTCTAGCGCCCCCTGGAGGCAGAGCCCCAGGTACCCAGCTAGGAGCAGCGAGGTGCAGAGCCCTACCTGGTCAGAGGGGCTGGGCGGAGGGATCAGCACACTGGTTAGGTCTATTACACCCAAACTCCATATACCAGGAAGAATTCTGAGTCCAAATCAAAAACGATTTCAACATCACTGAAACTCCAACTCAGATGTGAACTGCACAAGCTTGCAGAAGTGGCCGCGCGTGCTTTATGTGAGCTGCTGAAGAAAGGCTTCCAGGTCACAGTGAATCACCTTTTGGAGGAAAGATGGAGAAAACTCTGGCCCTGCTGTTCAAGAAAGAAAGAGGCTGGGGCCCAGATGTAGCTCAGTGGTGCCGCCTGCCTGGCCAGTGCAAGGTCCTGAGTTTGATTCCCGGTACCAGAAAAAAAAAAAAGAAAAAGAAAGAAAGAGGTGAAGTCATAGGAAAGGACAGCA